CTGAAAATTTAAATATTTGGAAAAAATTTTTTATCAATCATTTTTTATTGCACATATAATTTTTTCATTTTCATTGTCAGTGCAATGTCACGATTATACATACCTTAAAGTTAGGCTTGACAACTACGGGTGATTTTTCATCGGCACTTGGTGGTGAGGTGGGTGGGGGTGTAACATCGCGATTATCATTACTGGCAGTTTCCTGTTTCTTAGCTTCCGTGGGACCATCTTTCGTGATGGACGTTCTTCGCTTCCTCTTTCTTGGTTCTTTGCTCTTCGTCGATGCGGTCAAAGCATCCATAAACATGTCGCTTTCTTGCAAAACCATTGCTATAAGAAGAAGAAAAGGAAATAATAAATGCTTATGGTTAAAATAAATGAAATAAAAAGAGCAAGTATTAACATTATAAAATTTCTTAATTTATTGAGTATTTGGACTTTCAGTAGGAAGAAAGGTTTCAATGCTATCTTAATAATAATTATATTTTGCAGAAACAAAAAAAAAAAAAAATAAAAACATTCGCTTATACCACTCATCGAATTCGTTAAAATCGTAAGTGCAAATAATAATATAATTGTCCGGTAATGAACAAGATATGGTTCTACGTACGTTAAAGTAACTACAACCGCGAGAGAAAAACGTTTCTGCACGTTACGCTTCGTTAATTCGAACTGAGTGGTACGATAAAAATCATAAATATCCTCGAATTAACGTAATCCTGTAAAACATACATTAGATTTATAATTATTCAATGTTCAGCTCCTTACAATTCTCATTCACATGAATCTGTAAAAAAATTAAAAAAAGAAGTTATAACATTGATGTAACTTGGCACAGAGGCAAAAGTTGAACGCTTGTTCCCCGATGGAGCTGAAATTAAATAATACTTTAACAAATACTTGATGGGAAACGACGAACGAGAAAGATACCCGGTAAAGAATCTGTAACAAAGATACGGTCAATTATTGCTTTTTAATAAGACGAAAAATCTTATTTTAAAACGTTGTTAGAGGAACGAAGAATCATTGTAATTTACTAACAAAGTAAAATGTTGAAGAAAAAAAAATGTTTAACGTACCCTGAGATAATTCTATGTTTAATGTTGAATTACAAAATTGA